ACATTCGAAAGTATTCAATTGAATTAGTAATTCAACAAGTATCTGGAAAGTTTTTGATGGATCTGGTGGCAATTTATAATCGATTTGCCGTCTTGAGCCATCGAGAGTGTGCCATCTTACCAGGATTTTTTCTGCTAAACTTGTTGAACATATTCCTTCCTCTATTGCAGAGCTGGGAAAGTTATTTCTGAAAAGTATCTAGTTACTTTTCTAAGATACTTTAAACAAAATAACTTAGTTACCTCGGGTAACTAGATACTTTGAGTTGAAAGTATCTTTAGTTACAAGATACTTTAGAAGGTATCTAAGATACTATATGAAAGTATCTAAGATACTTTTAAGTAACTAAGATTCTTTTGAGTAACTAAGTAAGTTTTAATTGTGAATAAAAACTATCTAATTATGAAAATTCAACAAGTGTTAGGTTAGGTAATTATTTTAAATCATTCTGGAATTCCCCCAATTTTCTATCCAAGTTAAACTGAAAAGTATCTTAGTTATTTTAAAAATTATTTAAGTTACTTTAAAAAGTATCTTAGATAGTTTAAGTATCTAAGTTACTTTTAAGTATCTTTTTTTCAAGATACTCCCAGCTCTGCTCTATTACTCTACACATTTGAAGTATTGTTAATCAGTTATTACCTGAGGCAAGTCCGTCTCAATTGGTTTAAATTGGACTACGGGCATGCCTTTACAATCAGGTAGAAGGGAACCAATTGGTCCTGATTGAGTGCATGGGCCTATACTCCATTGAAGCGGTCTACCTAACTGATTTTTCAACTGTCGAATTACTCCAACTTTTCAACCGGTACTAACATTCGTTCCGTCGCATCCAATAACCTTTAATTGAATTAATTATATGCCTCGGTTTTGCATGTCGCTCATAATTGCATCGGCAATATCAATCGCTCGTGACTGCGTAAGTGCTAAATGCCCAAAATTTAAATTTCCGGGTTCTTCGACCAGGGCAATGTGAAAATAAAGACCTTTGATAAAAACAATTGTTTTAGTTCCCGCTTCTTGTAGCCGCAGTCGATTTTTATTTATTTCTCGTCGTATCTTATTCTTATCTTTGACTTTTACCATATCGTCTTTCGTAATGAGCTTCATATCTTCTTAAACAGCACTCGCAATTTTTGCTGCAGTGCGACTAGAGACGCCTGTCAGGTCTGCGACTTTTGAAGTATGTAAAAACGAATGCCTTATTAAATTTTGTGACATACTCTTTTACTTTTTTGGTTTTGGTTGCTCTTGTATTATAAAATCTTCATCAGTATTTGTTTCTGACCTTGAGAGGTATTAGTATTACTTTTATTAAATATCGTAGAATTTTCAGTAGCTCTGCTGTGTTGCTGAATTCCACTGGGACCTACTACAGGCTCTTGGCAACACATCTCAGACTCAGTAGAAGTAGAGCTAGCTTGAGAATCTTGCAGTTTTCTTCAATTCTTTTTTTTTATTTGCAGTCACCTTTTTATCAAAGTTACCGATTGCCATTTTTCTGTTACTTTGATCTTTTATAATTCAATATCTGGAATCTCTCCGAGTTTTTTCACAGTTGCAAGAAAGTTTGTTCGTACATTGGCAGGAACAAATATCAAATAAACGTTTGGCATCATTTTTAAATTTATCCAACTTTGCCGCTAAAATTGTGGTCTCTCTACTTTTTGAAGGATTTTATAATTCTTTAATACTGATTATTAAATTGTAAATTCTCTTGTGAAATAAAGTGGGAAGAAAAGCCCCACTCCAAATTATCTGTATTTTTTTGACAACAATATTTGCAACTATTTTTGATTCTGGTTGTTTTTTTCCGTCTCTTTTTAAACTCGAACAAACACTGTAAAAACAACGTATCACATCTTCATAAGTCGGCATATAATAGTTTTTTTCTGGAAAAAAGTCTTTTTCTGTTTCGAATAAATAAATACTCTAACCCGCATGTGTTCACTAAATTAAGCAGTTTAAAAGGAGTCATAAGTCCCAAAGAACAATCAACTGCGCTACACGACTGAACTACGCACGATGCACGCACATGTTATGATCCCTTCGACAGTGGCGCGTAATAATTTAAATTATATTTCATCAAAGGGGCTGGGTTACACATTGAGATTTATTCATGATTTAACTTTTTCTTACTGGCCAAATTTATTTTTTTGAAAAATTAAAATCTTAAAATTTTGAGCACTAAGGGGTCCGGCTGAATATGACTTAAAAAAAGAAAAAAAATGTGGAATACAAGGGACGCAAGTTACAACTTTTTCACGCTAGCCACATTTCAAATTAAAAAAAAAGTTTTCGGCTCACACTATTAGTGTTGTTCTATAATCTACTTCTAATTTATTTAGTATACATCACTGATGGATTGTATGTTTTGTGTTGGCCAGACACTACGGGGTTGCTTACTGAATTATTTGTTATTACAGAAGCGTACATTACTTTTTTGATATTTCAATTATATGTTTTATTTAAACAACAACATACATACATATATAAACGACTTGGGTACATACAGTTTCTGTAATACCGTTTTGGTAAAATAATTAAATATTTATGTAAATGTATTAAATGTTTATGTAAATATTTAGTGTGGCGATTAAGCAACAGTTTTATGCAAACAATGCATTACTATTTATTCACGTTTATCTAAACAGTTAATATTATTATATAATTTAAATTTTATAAATATCAATATTTAATGTTAAAACTATAGCAAATTTCTTAACATTAAACCAGACTCCAGAATGAAGGAAAATAATTTCTGAATTTTGTTGTGCGTGGAGTTGCCTTTGATTTCTTTTAATGTTACCTGCTAAACCGCAAATAGTGTGTTTTTTAATTGAATCGGTGAGAATAAGAACAGTACAAGTCCAAAATTTGACATTTTCATCTGAAATAGCCATGTTTTAAATTCGAAGCAGCATCGAAGAAGTAGTAGAAGAACATTTTTAAAATCGGCTTGTTAAGGTGTTTGTCAGAGCTAACTGTGAAGCACAAGTCCAGGACTTGGTACTGTTCTTATTCCCAACAAATGTTGTTGTTGATTATGGACATTATATCCCTACTAAAAGTTTAAGATGATCAGCTGCCAGTTGGTATTTTATGCTGCTTAAGTGTAAAATACAACAATGTTATCATCTGATAGTAGCGAAAATGACATAAGACGAATGGAAAAATCCAGAACGATGAAAAATTAAAAATAAAAAGTTTGCACGTCAAGGTGGTGAGTTTTATATGTCTACATCTAGAAAAATTGTCTAAGGAAAAATAACTGGACCACCATGTAACGAAAAGAAAATAAATGATAACATCCTGGCCAAACACTAATACGGATGATGATGCCGGTGTACAAAATTGATTATTTAATATTTTTGTTTAATTAAAATGTTTATTTTGTTCAATAAATTGCTTTTTGATCAATAAAAATGCTTTTTGCTAAAAAAATGCTCTTTATCAATAAAAATGCTTTACCAAATCATGATGTTTTATTTTTTTCAATTCTAAAACAAAATCCTAAAGATTATTATAAGAATTCTGTGTCAGAATTTTATTGAGATTAAGAACAGTACAAGTCCAAGTTTATTTTTTGTGTATAAAGCATGCACGTGGTAAAAAAAAATATGTTTAGTTTAATGGACCTCTAAACTCATAGGCCACAGCTTCGTAATTTTAAACCTAAAAAATCCTAATAAACAGTTTATTTTGTTTTCTCCAAATTCAAACATTTGGACATGTATTGTTCTTATTCTCACCGATTCAATTATAGGTTTTCTTATTTTTTATATATGAGATTTGGTGTTTCCCAAGACTCTTTTTTGGATCCCTTCCTCTATCTTTCTCGAGATAGTGTATCTATCTCGGGATAGTGTATTTTTTTCAGGCTACAGCTCATTCTTAGTCTCAGCTAACAATTTACCAAGCTCTGCAGAGCTTAAGAAGTTGAAAATCAGGCAGAATCCTGTGTTAATAAAGAAAAAATTCAAAACATGTCTACATGTTGTGTCTACTAAGAAATACACAACAATGAAGAAAGTTCTAAATTGTTGTCTGACTGAAAAACTACTAAAACCCTATAATTACTAAGGAAACCCAGGAGACTGCTTGATTTCCGCACCTTGTTATCTGCCTAGCATGCATGCATTTTTTATTAAATCAGCTATAAGGTGATACTCAGGGGTAAATTCAGTAAATTCAGTAAGATAACCCTCTCCCTGTTTTCATCTATTTTAAGAGCTCCCTTACCTTTTCATCTAGTATAGTTTGCTTAAGGCTCACATAAATAGGCATACATTTTTAACCAAAAGAAATATTCATTTACACAACAACATAAATGCAAACCTAATCCTACGGCTCGAGAAATTAAAGATTTTATTAGAGATTAGTCTGTATAACAAACTATCATTGCCAACTAAAAGTCTCTCTTTAAAAAACTTTAAACCAGGTAAAAATCGCGTTTACAAAAAGGGCTCTACTCTTTAAATGAGGTATAGGTATAAGAAAACTTGAGACCTTATGTTGATATTTATTTAATGTTGTTATTTATTATTTTACCTTTAGAAATACAAACTTAAACGTGATTAAAATATTCGTTTACACAAAAAAAAATTAATCAGACCTCCTTTCTTACGGCTCGGAAAAAGTAAATTTAAATTTAATATTTTGGACATTATTATAACAAACTATCCTTTTCAAGAGCTTTAAGAAACATGTAAAAATTGCTTTAACAAACCGGGCTTTCTACTCTATAAATGAGCTATAGATATATGGAAACTTCCGACCTTATTTAGATATTTATTTAATATTGTTATTTTTTATTTTACCTCTAAAAATGCAAACTTAAACGTATACATGTTTTTTTAAATTTAATGTGGTTAAATATTATTTCTATTAATATTATTATAAATACAATTTAAAACAAGATTGTTCACTTAAATAAGTTTTATAAATAACTGTTCTTTATAATAATCCTAAAAAGCTTTTATTCTTTAGAAACTTTTGTAATGCAGCGACTTTTTAAGCATGTTTTCAATTTCAGGATCCATTCTTTCAGAAACAACTTCTTCGTTTTAATAGCAGCATTCCTGTGCTCCAACTTTTTTCCCGTCGATGCATACACGAATATAACGGACGACAACACCGTCTGGGAAGACGTTTTAAGAATTTCAGAATTATTATTATACAACTGCATAACATACGGTACGCGAGACCAAGAAAAATTCCTGCCAAGATTGCAGGATTGCTTGAAACGCAGAAGTTTGCGGGCACTAGACAGGACAATAAACCGAGATGTCATTGAATTTGCTGAGGGAATTGCACTGGTCAAAGATCGGATTTTGAACAACACTAACAAAAGGTAACCTTAACTTCAATTTCCCACTCAATACTTAACTTTAAATTAACTTAATTGGAATGCTTATTTAATTTTTATTTTATTTTTTTCTAAAACTATTTACATTTTATGGACGAAACGCAGTTTTAGTCAATATTATTACTTTTTATTTATTTTTTTAAATTTTAATTAATATTTATTTTGTAACAATTTTATTAATTATTTAAAAAATATTGCTCATTTAAATTGTTTGATGAAAATTTGTTATAATTAAATTTATGGGTAATTCTACAAAAGTTGGGCAACTTTTAACCTCATTTTGTTTATATAGTTTTCGGAGAAAATTAAACAGTATTTTGTTATGAGAACATAGATAATATAATAAATATACTGTTCCAGACCGGGCTACTTTTTCAAACAGTTTCTGAAATATCTGTTTTTTCTAAATTTGAATGCAAGGGAAGTGACGAGTATACCAGGGTACTAATTAAATACATAATTTATTGGAAAATATAAGATTTATTGCAACTTTTAGCATATTATACATTAAATAGGTATCTTAAAATCAAATAATACCATACATCAGTGGCGGCTGGTGGATTTTGTGTATACCGATATCTCAATTATTGGATATGGGACCCACACCAAATTTATATGAGTTTATAATGACATTAAATAAACAAGTTCTGCGGAAGCAGAATTTAAATTGAAGTTTGCGAAAAAAAGATAACCGAAACATAGAACATGGAACTGACGACACGATGAATGGGATACAAATTTGAGATTATAATTCGTAATTAAGTATTTTACTGATATTTTTTATTAGTGGATGCTACCTATTAACAAATTACATATACACGGAAAGAAATGGATAGTCGAAAATTTATAGTACACTATTTTTATTAATAGTCACTATAAATTATGTTAAAAACAACATACCAAGTTATTAGCACTGACTATAAAAATATTTTAAAATAGTATTGTAACTTTAAATATAATTTTTAGTAAGTAATACACAACAAATATAGTAACATATTCAATTAACTATATTTTATACCATCTTTAACTAAAATAAATTTAGTTACACCAGATTTTAAATTATGGTTGTAATAAATATACGAGATATTGCTTATTACTATAATTAGAGTAAAATTAACTCCCTTGTATAGTCAACCACCATGAGTCAACTTTAAACTTGTCTAGTGAGTCACTAGTAGTGACGAGCCGATCCTTCATTTGCATTGCATAGTAGTCTACTATTAGTAGAGGTCTAAAACTATCGATAGTTGGCACTATCGATATTATTCGATATTTGGTCACTTTACTATCGATAACTATCGATAGTTTTCGATAGTGAGAGTACATTATAAAAAAAAACATAATTAAAAAATAAAAGCAAAGTAATTATTTATTTTTATTCAAAAATCACATTACAAATGTTACAAACTGCCAGAAACTTACAAATTTTACAAACTACAAACCTATAAAATCCCACAAACTTACCTTTTTCTTTTTTGTCTCGGACCCAGATCGAGTTATGAATTTCTCCATTTCTTACAAATTTTATAAACCACTTTGGTGAACTCTTTAGAAAAAGCATATATACAAATTGATTTATTATCTATGATTGTTAAAAAAACTTTTTCTACAACTAAGCGAAAAGTACAAATTTGTGCTTCCAAAAGAAAGCGCAACGTTGCACTTTTACGAGGAGCGAGCGACAAAGTTTGTCAATCTTCTCGCTCAGAGCGGCAATGGATCACTTTGCGCTCTTAATACACAAATATATTCCATGACGAAACCATGACAAAAACAAACGCAATTTCTTCGCCAAATTTCAAAACAAGACATCGGAATTATTTGACAGAATGAGTGTATTGTGAGTGTGCCCCTAACTTTAGTTGCTATTAAAACTTTTCGTGAAAGCTTTACTAGTGGGCTAAAAGTTAAAGCGTTATTAAACTATCGGAAACTATCGCGATAGTTTTAAAAACTATCGATATTATTCGATAGTTAAAACTATCGATATTTATCGATAGTGCTATCGATAGTTTTAGACCTCTATTGCATAGCAACAATGGCAGTGGTAAGAGTAGGTTGTTATTTTGTGGTGCATCGTATTATTTAAATATGTTACAATTTTGGTTTAATTTCAAGTATTTTAAGAAAGGAAGTAAATGAATTTATTTATAGATTATGTAAAAAGCTAACATTCACTTACAAAGTTATGAATATGTGATTCTAAATAGTACAAATTAATTTTATAAAAATACCGAATTATTTAGATACTTAAACTTAACTTTTAATTTTATCTTTGTTCTCTTGTGATAATTAGAGTTTAAGAAAAACTGTTATATTATTTTATTTTTTTATATTTTTTGTTTTGTTTTAAAATACGTTACAATTTTGGTTTAATTTCAATTGTTTTAAGAAGGGAAGTAAATGAATTTTCTTACTACCTCGACTCAAAATACGTTGTTTCGTCCCCGATTTCACGGCAGAAAGTTTACGTTTCTTGCATTGGTCAAGCTATACGCGCACACCATAGATAATAAATCATATAGATACGCCACTGTCACATATTTGACGCTCCTTGTTACGCACACTCGGCCCGCTATGCCGCTAGTGTACCCGCCTGACATTTATTGGTTTTAGGTTATGGTTTTAATTTAGGTTATCCTGTCAAATTTTGACAGTCAAAATAGTAAAAAATAAAAGGCCTGATAGTTTATTTAAATTGTTTATTTGAAAAGCAAAAATAAATGTATTATATTTTAAATTATTCAAGGTATTTACTAAACTAAAACAATTAACAATATAATAATGTATTCAAGTGAATTTTATCTTATTTAAGAACACAAATCAGTATAAAGTAATAATATTATGTACCACATTTGTGTGAGTACCTTGTTTTAATAAAATAGTTATAATTGAATAATACAATACAACCTTGTCATCATTGTGAAAAGTATGCATCATAACTTGACTGTTAGAGCAGCCTACAGCACAGCACAACACCATGTTAATGTTCAAATAATGTAGCAATATATAAAAAATAGAGTACACAGATAACGATAAATCGCAATTATAAAAGTTTTTAAGCGTACAGAACAAACCAAATAAACACAATATGAATTTACAAAACTTTACAAAATTTATCAAACTGAAGTTTGTTGATTTCGTTACCAAGCAACCGTCAAGATTAACCGCCGCTCCTGCCACATGCAACTCGAGTGTAAACTAAAAGTTTTAGTCTAAAACCAAAGTCGACTAGACAAAAATGTGGATTTTGTTTGTTTAAGGCGAGTGCACAGGGCATGGCGCACACTCTAATAGCGGGAGTAAAAATTTTTTAGTCGTGTGCTTAACATTCAAATTTCGTACTGCCAACATGAGAAACACAAAAATATGACAGTTTTAAACCATAATTTTGCAATTATAACAACAAATAAACAATTTATGTTTTTACTTTTTTACTTTTTATGTTGTTTTAAGTGTTTAATGGTACTTTTATTTGTTATAAAGTAGTAATTTGTTAATTAAAATACAACCTTTTATTTTTACTGTATTGGCACCGCTGAATTACCATGACAACGCTACAGTTTGATTGATTTTGAATGTAAACGTCAGAATTAAATTAAACGTCAGATTTTAATTTTGACACAAGTTTTTTTATATACATTTAATTTTTTCCCGTATTTTCTGCGGGGTAGCAAGAAAAATAGTATACACTACACGGGCAGAAAGTGTGAGAGCCCTGAACTCACACTTTCTGCCCTTGTAGTGTAATATACTATTATTTATAGATTATGTAAAAAGCTAACATTCACTGTCATTCACAAATTAATTTTATAAAAATACCGAATTATTTAGATACTTAAACTTAACTTTTAATTTTATATGTTGTTCTCTTGTGATAAATAGAGTCTAAGAAAAAACTATTTTTAGTTATTTTTGAAATATTTTTGTTTTGTTTTAAAATATGTTTGTGGCAATAAATATATAAAATATTTATATGATGCTTTTATTTTATAATTTTATGTATGTTTGTATACAGCTGTACTCTAGAGTAATTCAGAATTGTGAAATTAAATGTCGAGAGATATGGGTTCTTATACTCAAATGTCTTCTACTTATTATTTCAATGAAGACCTCTTGACATTTCATCCCATGATTCTGAATCACCCTTTATATGTACCAAAAAACCTGTTAAATATTACTATAAAAACTTGTTAATATTTTCTAAAATTTATAGTAAAACACCAAATAAAATATAATTTAAAGAAAAAAATAGTAAATCTTATAAAAAAATATAGTAAAAATTATTATACCAAGATATTTATTACTAATATATTGTTTTTTAAATATTACTATAACATTTTAATAAAAGCTAACATAATATTTTTGTACAAATTACTAGAAGGCATATATTAAAATTAGTTATATTCATATATTTAAAAAAATCATACAATATAGTTAAATTTACTTAACAATAATGAAAGATAATTAACATATTTTTGTAAATTTTAAAATATCAGATACCTGTCCCTATATTTATAAAAATTATAGTATAACTTACTAGATTTATATTAATAATGACTATATATTTCTTTCCGTGTAGCCTTATATAAATTACAATGAAATATACGTAAGAAAATAACTACTCACCACAGTACTGAAATTTTGACTGGAACTATACCGGGCTCTGTAGGTTATTTTTTACCAACACTTGAGTTAAAACGAGGAATTGACGTTTAAACTTCAATATTTCGCAGGAATTTTGAATTTTAACATTGGACACAGAACTGACGGGTAAAAGTGAGTATGTACAAAGATTATCAATTTTTTAAAAATTGGTATTATTCGAATCTATGATAAAATATGAAGAATACATTATTTAATGTTTTATAGTTTGTAGTGAAATTGAAAAATTTAAGATAGGTAAATTGAATATATTTTAAAATAAAATCACTCAAATATTTGAATCAGGATTTGTGACACGCCAAGTTACTGACGTTTTGAATATTTATTATGTTTTTCTACAAACGTGCTTTTGAAAAAATACAATTGGGTGGGCAAGTTAAAAAAAACCTGGATCTTTTGTAATATACTAAAATATTTACAAAAAATATTAAAATACCTACTCTATTGACTGATGACATCAAGTTGTCCAACTTTTGTAGAATCACCCTTATATTTTAAGTTTTTAAATTTGATTAAGGAATTTAAAATAAAAAACTTACATTTTAATTCCAGTAACAATTTAATTCGACTAATGAAAAAATTAAAACAAATGTAATTATGGTAAAGTGATTGATTATTGTCTAGATGTACAAATAAATTATACCAATTGTACCTATAAAGTTTTTTACCTCCTAGCCTGTTTGGCCAAATCAAAAAATTCCATTACTATTAGATCTAGCTAACCTCACTTTCTTATTTTAATAATTATTATATAGGTGTTTTATATTAAACAATATTGTTGAAATTGCAATTAATATTAAAAAATATTTGTTCATTATATTATTAGAATAATATTTATTTTATAAAATATTTATTTAAATACAAAGAAATATAAAGTGAAAACCGCTAAAGAAAATTAATAAAGTTATTTTTTTTATCTGGACTGCGGCAACGTTGCAACGTGTCAAATTTAGGGGTTTGGTTGGTAAATACGGAACCAAAATTGGTAGCATTGATTAAAACAAACTAAACTAGTTTTAAATGTTATACTTGTTATTTTTACACTTAACTAAACGCTTACTCAATTTTGATAATTTGTAGACTAACCAGGCCCTCAGCCAATCTGTTATGAGTAACACGTTTCTAAATTAAGAAAAGAGGAACTTATTCCCAAAAACAAAACAAAAATAAAAAAAATAAAACAAATAAAAAATAATAAAATAAGATAAAAAATCATACATGGTTCACCCAGACTGCTAGTTTAAAGAAGGCTAAAGTTTAGCCGCTAAACTTCATGTTTTTCTCCCCAGATTCAGCAAAGATTGAACAAACCCCACTTAAGTTATGGTCAAGCAATTTTACCAAATCCTCACTTGACCCAGGAAGCGGTGCTGATCGCTACCCTCTTGGGATGCAGGTCTTAATCTCACAATTTAGACACAACTAATATTTTCAACTTATTGCTTTACCAAAATATGTTGAAGCTAGATATCTATCATGACTGAGCTCCATGGTCAAATAGTAAAATATTTACCTCAATATTGACTAAGAGGCAACACGGTTATAAATGTAATTATGGTTATGTTCATAGAGAAACAAACATACGTGAATGTTGTCCAATCACTGGGACTCCAATGTTGAATGGGTATTTTGTTAATACTTGTAGTGGCTTAATAATTATAATGTATATATTGTCCAGGACCATTAATGATCGATAACTTGCAAATTGAAAGAAGAAAAAATTGATTATTGCTTGTCTTTTTCAAACAAATGGATGCTATTTTCAAAGACAGGAAAATTAACTACTAGATTTTTCACAAAAAGGTTGAACCTAACAGCAAATAATTTTTATTTTTTGTTTTTATATCTCCCCCTTGATTTTTGATCTGCTTAGCTGAAAATAATGTGCGATTTAATATTTTTAAAACAAAAAACGTTACTTTTTTACTCCAAAAATGTCCATTGAGGCGTTTGCCCTTAAGAGTTCTTTTACTTTATAATCTGATATTATTTTTGGCATAGTTATCTTTTTATAATAATTAACAAGTAAATTATCAATAATAAATATTACTGTCAATTTGACAGTGTATTTAATAAAAGTCTTCAGCAGAAGTTTTATTTTTTTAATACTAAAAATACTAAATCAAACTGGCATAAGCTTCCAACTTAATAAAAAACACGAGTCCAAATAAAAAATAATAAAAATATGAATTATAATAATTATCTATTATTATTATCTATCCAGCATTATGTATATAATCACTTAGAGTGTATGGCTCCAGGTTTACCAACACTTGGTTTTTATCCCACAAATAATTGTTTATTGTTCCACCAAAACAAAAGACATGTTCACGAAACAGGCCTCTGCAGGATTGTTTAATCACTCGCTTCTGCATGACAAAAATTTTATCAATTTAAACCCCAAATAATAATTGATATAAAATTAGCATGATTATTCATCCTCAATGATTCTTGGTTCGTGTATTTTGCAAAAACTCTTATACAATGTGATATAGATCCTAGTCTCCTGGTGAGAAATTCTATATGCTTATTCTATAAAAGATTTTCATAAATGAATATAGGTATACCTAAAAATTTTGAATTTATCGAATATTGTACTGTTTTATTATTCAGTTTTAAATTTTTGGGTGTGACTATATTTAACAAATATTACATTTGTTTTATTAGGTTATAACAGATTATTATATTTTGTAGATTACCAAAACTGTAAAACTAAATCAGTTTTTGTCATTAAAGACGTTGCAGTCATACTTTAAGGCGATATGGTCCGCACTATTCATATATACAGAAATTATAGTTTAAAGATAACAAGGTTTTTTCATTTAAATATTGTATTTATATGAAATTAAACCTAATGGATTTTATCTATTAAATTCAAGTATAATATTTTTAGATCAATGCAAGCCATACTACCGAATACATTGGAAATATCAGACAAAAACTGGCAATTGCAGTTTTTAAATAAACTTTTAGAACTTTTCCAGACTCACACACTTAAGATATTTCTTAAAAGAAATAATACAGAAATTATAGAGGGTAAGGCCAATGGACTTAAATTTACTTTATAATTTAAATGAAAATTATTACAAGGTCGCCGAAGAAAAGACAGGGGGGACATGTCAAGTATCCTGGTGTTCAGCATGTTGGCAATGGGTATGATAATGGTACCATTAGGATTCCAGTTTCTCGCTGTTCTTGGAGGAAAGGCAATTCTTCTGGCGAAAATGGCACTTATCCTTGCTTCCATATCAGGCCTGAAAAAACTGGCCACCAGCAACCTTAACTACGGATTCTACCAAACACATCCAGGATCGGGGCACGAGCATGGATACGAGCATGGACATGGACCATGTAAGATAATGGATGGTTTACTAACACACGAATATTTCGATATAGATGCCAAGCACCCTTTTGATAACACTGATACCGAGGATTTATTTTCATTTGAAATAAAGTTCGAGGATTTATCAGGTTCGAAATTGGTCATGATACTAACGCTCTGGTTATTAGGAACTATTTTCATTTATAAACTATTGTATATTTTTTATTTTCTATTTTAAGTTATGTGGGTATAAAGATGGGATTTTGGTGTTATTACCTATTTGTCTACCCTAATCATAACTTGAATGGAATAAAATCTGTTTTAAAGAAAATGATTTCATTTGAGCCGATCTTTATTTTATCTAAATTTTCATGTTCAAGAGAAATGGACCTAATTTTTACATTTTACTACCTAAACTAGTGTAATATTACCTATTTTACCTAAATTCTTATTTTTATCAGAAATAAACCAAATTTTCAAATTTAACCATCAAAAACATGCTTTTTTGTAATATCGTTTGTCGTATTCGGGTAAAAATTCTGCCCTACTATGGAGAAAGGCAGTAACTGCAAAAAAATGCAAAAGCTATGGACATTGTGTAACCGAATTCAACTCATAAGTTAAAAAAATCAATTAAATACCCAATGCTTTTTATAAAAATTTGGTTTATGCTAATTTTCCAAAAATTTCTTGTTTATCAGTTACTGCCTTTCTCCATAGTAGGGCAGAATTCTGCTCTACAGGAATATCCTTACATAGCAAAAATAACGGTTTTATTTTAAAAATAGAACATATTATGAAAATATATTAACTTAAACAAAAAAATATATAAGGAATAAAAACATATAAAAATAACTTTATTTTTTTGTTTTATTTTTTTTTTATATAATTTTTGAAACTAAATAACAAATGGAAATAAGTTAGTTTTCTGTCTTTTTTAAAAATTATTCCAAGTTTCCAACATTTCTTTTTTGGTTAAGGTATAAGTTTAATCTGTACCAGTAACAGGCTGAGGTTTCCTGAATATTGTATCTTTATGAATTATCAATATATTTGCCTTAGGTTTTGAATAATAAAAATAATAATAATGCTGGTCCATTGGGATGTAAAAAACTAACTTTAATTTTCTTAGATTTTCTTTCCAATTGTAAAAGCTAACCACCAAGAGCTCTTATAGTTAATGGTAACAAAACCAGATTTAATAAACTTTAATTCAGAATTCTTGATCTTGAAATATGTTGTTCCAAGCAGAGAGAAGTTTAGTTACTATTCTGGATTCTGAAACTGGAATCAAAGCATGAATTTTTTGTGTACCCACGACAGTCTGCGCTTAAGCAAATCTTTTCTAAAAATAATAAATAATTGTCGCTATTGCAGAACTTAGTGATTTCTGAAATGTTCTCCGTTGCAACCTGATACAGTTGTTCCAGGGTCATAATTTGTTGATCATAAGACCTTGCTGTGTGTCCTGGCAAAAAATGCCACTCTGCCTGAATTCCAAATTCTGTCTCATGTCATGTATCATAGACTAATAAAGTTTTTTGTTTTTTTATTGTGCTGCGTATGAAAAGCGACAGTATTATGAATTAGGCAATTCGAAACAAAAACGAAGTTTAAATGTGTAATTTCATATCTTTCGTTTTTAAAATAAATCACAAACGGGTGCACCCGTCAGACCATGGCCTGACTGTTAGTCAATTGGTACAATTGTACCTCATCCTGAAGGACAAATGAATAATGCTTAGCAAAATCTCCAATTTTTAAATTGAATTTTGTTTCATTATAAAGCTATTTCCGCAACTCAAAATAAGTTTTTGAAAATTTAACTATCAAAGTTATAGCAATGTTGCCAGAGGTAAAATATTTTTGATGTTTTGGAAAATAAATGTAACACAGTATACAAGAAATTTATATATAAAAAAGCGTATTATAAGATAACCAAACTAAAAAAGCCTACCCTCCCAGCAATTTTCGTTATAAAAATTATATTAATTTTATCATTTTTAAATTTGACACAACAACATTCTGTTTTGTCAATGTGAACTATGATAGTTAAAATTTAGTGTAGTGCATAAAAAAGTGAGTTTTAAGCATTTACAAATATTTTGGTAAAAAATTGCTTAAAATTGTAAAATACATACACTAACCAGGCGGCCCTGGTTTTAGAACACTAACTAGGGCCTTTTCCAGAAATCACCACTTTAGGTCATTGTTGCAAGGCTGTAAAATATTTCCAATGCCATTATTTTTAAAACCGCCGATATACGTGAATATTTTGCATTGTACATATTTGTTATATGAACGATTTTTCTTAAACCACCTAGAGGTGGCAAAAAAGGCCGGAATTTTTATAAACAAGAGAAAAGAGGTGTCTCAAACATAGCATAAATAAATTTTGGTAAAAGATTGAATTTTATGGTCCAAATACTAAAATTCCCTATAATGTTTTCTTAATATTTTTGTGTTTCTAAGGTTTTAATTTTTTTAAACTGAACTTCATTCATTCATTTATCCATTCTGAAATGTAGTAATTGTAATACTTAAACATATATAAAAAGAATATATATATTTTTTAAAATTAAAAATGGTGTTTTTGAGATATTTACAAACCAAAATATTTCAAAAATTCCCATTTTTATTTTTTAAGAAAAAGTATATCATGTGATAACTTATCTGAAAGGGCTTCAAAAAACCTTTAAAACAAGCTATTACTCAATGTTCTGTGATAAGCAGTTTTGAGATATATCCGTTGTTTTAAGAGCCTGCAGAGGCAAAATTGGTAAATTTCTTGATTTTTAAAAATCCATAAAAAATACCATTTAAAATATTGTGTTTTCGAGTTTTTCAGGACGTAGAACAACTTTACCTTAAATAATCAAAATCGGAGATATTGAAAACAAAATTTAACTTTTTTTTGGTTGATTTGATATGAAATTACCCTTTACCTATTTTATTGTTTAGACATTGAATATTTTAATATATTACTTTTAGTCCATTGGTCTCAGAATTATTTTTGTTGCTGGGATTGATTTTGTTAACGAAAAAAGTTCCTTCAGGTCTTCAGGCCAAAAGTTACTATCCTTTAATTTTACAAAATTTTTAAAATCCATTCCCACCGTAAAGGATAAACTGGCTGAGTTTTCTCTAACTAGGAGAGATTTCATTGCAAATTCTTCTTTCGGACATTTATACTTTATGCATTTTGTAAGGGATGTTGTAGTGGTTTTTCCTCCATTTTCTAAAACTGTGTTCCAAAAAAATATTCTCTGATGTGATGAAACACGTGGCAATACCTTTTCACAACACAAATAAACTCGTATTGTCAACTTCTTATATGTGCAAATTTAATTATTTGTATTAAAATTTGGATTGATTTGCATTTGTAAGAAATTGTACATTAATGCAAAGGTATATACGGTTCGTTGCTCAGATTCGAACATTTTCCAGTTGAACATAGCAAAGTAATTAATAGTCGTTATAATGATTGCAAGACTACGGATGAATTGCTTTTACCGTCCAAAAAGTAAAGACAGACATTAAATTTGCATTTTGATCTTTATATTAATGTTTAATTGTTGCAATTAATTATACAAAAAGGTATTTCATTGTTTTTACCATTTTCATTGCATTAGTTTTAATAACTAGGTATAAACCCGCGCCTTGGTTACAAGGAAAAATAAGGGGTCTTCTATAAAAACGAATGTTTTTAAGGGCCCGTCCCGTCCCAGGACCTAATCCCAGGACCTAATCCTAACCCTCACCAAATTTCATCAAAATCGGTTCAGTCGTTAAACAATTTCAAAAGTTGCGAATGTGCCGGGATTAATTATAACTAAATTTTGGAGATGGAAATCGACATTTAGGAATGCACTGTCAAAATTTCAGCCCTTTAGGTCCAGCGATTTGGTCTATGCGTTAATAATTAAGGACATGTAATAAAGGACAAAAATATTGCAATATTGCAATATTTTTTGTCCTTTATTCGATGTGTTTAATTATTAACGCACAGACCAAAAACAAGCACAATATTGTTTGTTCTTTCTTACCTTAAAAGTAAAATGACACATTCAAACGAAAAATATTGTAATTACAACAACAAATTAATTTTGAATTACAAGTACAATATTTTTAATCCTTTATTATAAAAATTGTTACCTAACCCTTTTATCCACTTACCCCTTTAATTACTAATATTATTTGTTTTAATTAATGTCCTTATTTATAATATATTATAGGCATTTTATTAAAGATAAAAATATTCTATAATATCTCTAAATCAATAATTATTTTAATTGATTTCATAAAAAAATTCTTTTGTAAAATTTGAACTTTTCAACGAAGAAATTGATGATATCATCTTGTAAGTCAAATTGTTATTTTTTAGGGCGGACAATTTAGAAAAAAAAATGTACCTATATCAAATTTTACTAAGTAGGTACATTAGGGTGATTCAAAAAAAGTGACTTCTCTTATATTTTTGATTACACCCCCTCATTTGGTAGTTTACTCTATAAAAAGAAGAATGCGACTTGGAAAATCAAAAAAAAAAAAAAATTAGAGGTCGCTCAAGTCGATTTTAGTTTTTTTTGCCGAAAAAAATAAAAATTTTGTTGAATCTTCAAAGTCGTGTAAAATCGACAAATTTAAATAAAAATGCATAAAATTTTAACAGAATATTAGTGAATCTTTATTGTTTACGAAATTATTGTTCATTTTTTAAATTTTGAAAAAAAAACTTTTTTCAATTTTTTTTTATTGAGGAAAAATCTTTTGTTTATAACAATTGAGCGCCTGTCGCGCACGACGTATTGTGCATGTGAAATTATTCTTAGGCGTTCCTAGAACGTATTTCAATCGTAAAAACTGTGCGCAAAATATAAACAAAGAGCTGATTGAATTTTGTCTTGAAATATCAGACAAAATTAAAACTTTTTTTGAGAAAAAATCTTTAATATGGTTTGGATATAACAAATAGATAGATTTAGATTATTTAAAAAAAAACTTCTTTTATCTTATTTGTATTTGTAAAATAGTATATTATGTATCAAGCTTGCGAGCGAGTGCTTAAATTAATGAGTGTATAGAAAAGTTTATAAACGAGGTGCATACTATACTTTTTCTACGACAAATACTTATTATTATCTTAAAATGATTTAAATCAAAAATTTGTATAGAGCGCCATCTATGAAACAATAAAGGAATGGAGTGTCACTGTCAAATGTCACATTTTTATAAACACAGATTATAAAGGTTATAAATCGAAATTTATTTCTTGATAATTGTCAGTTTTTCACAGTGAAAGTAAAGAAAATGTTTTATGAGGACTTTACAGTGGAGTCCGTGCCCGAATTTAAGTTATAGTTTACTGCCGGCGAAATTAAAAGGTCAGTACAATGTTCATATAAACTTTTCAAATATTGGCATTGAGAAACTATTTAATAGTTTTGTATTTTTGTATTAAAATAATAAAATAATTTTCACATTTAATATTATTTTACAAGAAAGGCACTTTATTTTAACGATTGTATGACATTTGACAACTGTCAACCCCGTGAATAAAGCGCCATAAAGCCACAACTTGTCAATGCGTATTTAAAAGGTCACTTAGTGTCATGGAAACATGTACGATAAAGGGCGTTTTAAAGGTGGGAGTAGAAAAAATAATTTATATTTTATTGTTTACGTTTTACACGATTTAACTTCAAATTATAGTTTACGCCATGTTAATGCGATTTCTCGTTACCTAATCGTTTAGTGCTAATCATTGACGGCGTTTATCTATAAATGGAACTACGGCTTACGTATTGTTTATGTTTTACGATCAGGCGGGAGGAAGAAAGAAGGCAATCTATAAATCAGGCTTTAAGATGATTAGTACTAAACGATTAGGTAACGAGAAATCTCATGAACATGGCGTAAACTATACTTTGAAGTTAAATCGTGTAATACGTAAACAATAAAATATAAATTATTTTTTACAAATACAAATAAGATAAAAGAAGTTTCTTTTAAAAAAAAAATATCTATTTGTTATATCCAAACCATATTAAAGATTTTTTTCTGAAAAAAAGTTTTTATTTTGTCTGATATTTCATGACAAAATTCATTCAGCTCTTTGTTTATATTTTCCGCACAGTTTTTACGATTGAAATACGTTCTAGGAACGCCTAAGAATAATTTCACATGCACAATACGTCGTGCGCGACAGGCGCTCAATTGTTATAAACAAGAAATTTTTCGTTGATAAAAAATTTTGAAAAACATTTTTTTTTCAAAATTTAAAAAATGAACAATATTTTCGTAAACTATAAATATTCACTAATATTCTGTTAAAATTTTATGCAATTTTATTTAAATTTGTCGATTTTACACGACTTTGAAGATTTAACAAAATTTTTCTTTTTTTCGGCAAAAAAAACTAAAATCGTCTTGAGCGACCTATAATTTTTTTTTAATTTTGATTTTCCAAGTCGCATTCTTCTTTTTATGGAGTAAACTACCAAATGAGGGGGTGTAATCAAAAATATAAGAGAAATCACTTTTTATGAATCACCCTAAGGTACATGGTTTATTTATCTTCATCAATTTATTTCAAATCAAAGTACCCATTTGTGAAGGGCGGAAAATTATTAATTATTAATTAAATATTTATTTCGCACAAAACTGTCCATAATATATTAATATATTATATTTCATTGATAGCGCTGCACATAAAATGTTAAAATATAAAAATTCCAATATTCGTTATGTAACGACCATTTGGCTATTAAGACATGAGTATAAGAATTATGACATACTTGTATGCTGATGGCGAAAGTCGTAATGATAGCCACTTAAATGGGAGTCGCATACACTATTTTTTCTATCATTATAAAGTAAAAAATTAACACTTTAATTTTAAAATGTTTCGTACCTATTTTCTGATTTTACGGCTTCTGCGGCAATTTATGGCGGGGTTAAGTTTTTAATTTAAATTACTATAGTATAATTTTAAAAATTAAAGTTTAAAATTTTTTATACAAGCAATACCTTGTAAAAATTAATAAATATTAGATCTGTCAGATGTCCAAGTTGATATTGAAAAATATTGCTGTGTATTTCATTTATATTCTTTATTTGCCGTGTTTTGGATTTATATTGGTTAAAAATCTGTATCGTACTAAAAAAATTAGTATCATAATGTATCTCATTATAGTACATGGTGTAGAAAAAATAGTGTAAATAATACATTTTCTTTAGATATTAGAAGATTTTAAAGAAAATCTTGTAAAAGAAAATAACTTAATACTGTATCTCAAAAAATATATATAATAGTATTTTTATACAATTTTCGCCATTTAATAAAATTAATAAAACAATTAATTTTTTTTTTAATATTTATAAACCACTTTTCTCTCTTTTAAATGAATACAGTATTGAACAGCTTTTAATTTTGTACATATTAAAGTGGGTAATAATTTTTTGACTCAAATACAATTTCGTTGCCTATCTTGTTGCCCAAAAAAAAACAAATTCGTTTAAATAAAGCTTAAAGACTTATTATTAAAGCCCACAATTTTATTATTAATATTGAATATTTTTCTAATTACTTTAAAGTTATTCTGTAAATATACTAAATTATTTTATTTTTTTTAGTTTGAAAATAAGAACAACTTTGTAAAAGTTTTAAAATAATTTTTAAAGTTATTTTAGAAATAACTTAATATTCATGATAACCTTTAATTTTTAGGGCACTACGACAGACAGTGGCCGTATAACGGCGTACCAGTAGACGAGGGGCATCATCATTATTCAGATCAAGAAGCCCATTACAGTCAACAGCCGCTTGCTCAAAATGCTGATTTGTTGCATGCATATCCAAACCCAAGATATGATTGGAAAGGACAACCCAATTAGCATATTTAGTTTTATTTATTAAAATAGAGATCGTGTCATTTTAAAACTATTTATTTAAATAAAGAAGCATTAAAGACTAATTAATTATAATTTATATTACCATCCTTTGTTAAAACTAGGGTTGGGACAGTTGAAATTTTCAAATGAAAATTTCACCTTTGAAAGTTTTAAACTTGAAATATTTCATTTAGTTGGAAAAGTAAAATTTTTAAAAATTTCAATTTTCAATCTGAAAATTTCAAAATTGCCTGTGAAAGTTTCAGAAATTTCATTGAAAGTTTCGCAATTTACTGAAAATTTCGCATAAATTTCACATGCGGCCTCCCCTGGGACCTTTAATAATAATTTACAACAGATTCCGAATCGACCAATAAGAACGAGTTATCAAGCGTCTGGGCGTTTTTGTTTAGTTCGGCTTGGATTTGAATACACTATAAGTAATTATTGTTACTTATATGCATAAATTAATTTAAATAATTTAATTTAGTTACCAATTTAATTTGTAAATTACCTAAATCAGACTTTAAAATTTTTTTAAAAGTCACGATTAATTTAAACTTTAACTTTTGCTATAATTGCATCGGAAAACGGATAAAAAATTCCTTCAATTTTCGTAAAATTTAAGTAAAATATTTAAAAATAATATATATATATATATATAAATATAAAACAATGAAAGTGGCACAATCTCATTAGCTTACCAAAAAGTGCTATACCTATCTCTTTTAGTTTTAGTAATTTTAAAAATATTTTAAAAGGAAATCTCAAGAAATTTGTGGTAAATATAAGTATTTAAATAATTAGTAAGTAATTAATATTTATATTATTGGTGCAGGGGCCCACAGAGGGGTAGGAGGTAAGAGAGGCAATTTGCCATGGTCCCCAAGTGGGCTTATTTCAATATTGAAATATTACACTTAAGTGATTGAAATTTATTGAAAGTTTAAATAAATTTCATAAATTTCATGAAATTTCAGAAATTTAGGAAATTTTCATAAATTTCATAAATGTCATGAAAATTTCAAGTGAAATTTCAAGTACAAGTAAAAAGTGAAATTTTACCAACCCTAGTTAAAGCAAACTAAACAATTTTTAGTTATCCACGATGATAATTATTAAAATAAAAAAATTCTGCACTATTCTGCAATGCTCGTCAAAATTGGATAATTGAAAACTGCCCTTAGGTACATTTAATTTATTTAAAACCGCACATTAAAATTAATGTTTCGGGTAATTAAAAACAGCACACTTTTGAACAAAATTGAATATTTGAAAACTTCCCTGACATCTAATTCATTTAATACTGGGTAATTGAAAACTGCTCATTAAATTATTGTTTCGGGTAATTAAAAACTGACCAAATTTGAAATTAAATATTTAATAGGTGGTGTATGCTTTTTGAAAATTATTTCAACAAAATTTATCAATTTCCTAATCACTTTCTTGGTATGATTGTGAATACTGCAGAGAAGTTCTATATCGTGTTCTACGTTTATATTTCTTTATAATAATAAGTATAATAAGTACAATAAGTATTAATTAATCTGGATCATAATAAACAGCAACAACATTATTATTTTAATAAATGCTATACATTTAAAAAATATTTGTAAGTTTCATTACCTAAGTACCTATTCTAATTTAACATAAATAAAAAATACTTTTATAATTAATTTATATTTATTTTATAAAAAAAATTGATATACATATTAAAGATCATTAAAAATACATATTCAGACTTATACAATATTTACCTATACAGAACATTGGAATCAAGAAGGATTACAGCCATCATATTAACATTATATAAGTTGCTACGTAACGAATTAGATAATAGCTAAGGATAATAGTTACTTATTATCACACATAAAATTTAAAGTAAAAAATTTAACTAGAAGTAATTATATATTTCAGCTACTATGGTATCCTGGTTTCGAGTGAAATAGACTTTTTTATGGTAATTTTAAAGTTTTTATGAAAAAAATTATTGGTCTAAATATAAATAATATATTAAATGTAAGACTTGCTTAGGACAAAGTTAATTATTTTCTTGTTGTGACTTAATGTAATATTAAATGTTTTTGTATTTTATTCTCATCTGTAATTGGGTATCGCGATGCATCGCCTAGGCGCGCCTGTGATGTTAAATAAATATTATTGTAATGATGTGTAAGTTCCTTTAAATTTTTTCTTTTATTTAATGTAAGGTTCGTAGGTTTAGGACGTAAAATAAAAAAACTTTATTTTTTTAAGAAAAATTGCCGACTATTCGAAAATATATATTTCTTTTTCAAGGGTATTTTCGTAATGAAAATATATATAGTCCATGTGTAAAAATAAAAATAAAATTAACAGTAGCACCAAGTTGCCACTATATATTTTCGAAACGTCGGCAATTTTTCTCTTTTTGTTTTATTTTACGTCCTAAACCCATGGGTGCACCAACCTTACTTTAAATAAAAGAATAAATATTATTATTATTATTAATTGGAGTAGCCAATGCAAATCCCATAATTTTAAGTACCGTAAACACGGGTGGCTTTAGCTCACTTTCAAACTTAATCTTAACATTTTGGTAGTTTTAACAATCATATTTATAACATTAAATATTGTATACCAAAATTTGAGTCTTGGGTTGCTCTTTCATAATAACTACCTATATTATAATCAGTAGCGTGCAAAGGTGATCGGGGGCCCCCCCGCAAATTTTGAGCTGGGGCCCCTTTGTCACTTATACCACCCAATGTGGTTTTCTACGGGGCCCCCCTAAGGTCGGGGGCCCCCCCGCACCGCGGGCCCTGCTGGGCCCGTCCTGCACGCCACTGATTATAATCTTTCATAGGGCTGAGTTTTAAAAATAAAAATTAAAAACTGGGTGTGCAAAGTTACCCCCTGGTTGCGGGTTATTTTGTCTCACAGTGTATTTTCCGTATAAAATTAACTCAATATTTTATTTTATTTTAATTAGACATATGATAGCAGCGACATATAGCAATTGCAAGGGGTTACCGATAAAAACAATAAAAAATCGACCTGTAGTTAACCAAGGATCATCATTCCAAAGAATTGCGCATAATATAGAAATTGTAACGCATGTATTTTTAAGATTTTTGCACTAATGCAATATATACAATTTTAAAGTGTAATAAATCCCATTTATTTTTTTAAAACACTGATTTTCCTGTAATATAAACTCAATAGAATCGCTCAATTGACAGGTTTAGACCAACAAATTATAAATGTTAATTTTATCGAGCGCGAAAAGATTTTTCATAAAAGGGCTAAAGTCACCCGCGGGGTGCAAAGTCACCCGTGTTTACGGTACCTAGCATTCCGTATCTGCTTCTACATCAATTGGGCAATTTAGCAAGCACATCTATCTTTTAAGGAATTTTGCAAGCTTAGTCCCAAGCAATGTTCTTAAGACAGCCTATTTTCATTGGGTCACTCTCTTTTGTCCTATGCTATACCTATTGGTGTGGGGGCAAGCTGCGGGCTGGAAAAGATTGTTTTCTCTACAACGTAAGACTGTGAGAATAGTTGGCAAACTAAAATATTCTGTATTTATTTACTATAAATAATAGTGTATACTAAATTAAACATGAATAAATTTACACTCACTCCACGAGGAATAGCAAAAGGTTAAGGTTACCACTCTGCATAGGCTGTTTCCATATTTTAACGAGGCAGTATTTTAAATAATGCAACAGTTGCTGATACCGCCACTCTCGCAATAATTTCGAACATTTTTTCAAAGTCTAATAAAAATAACGCTAAAATTTTTTGTTCGGGAAGAGGCATGCAAAATAAGCACAGGTGCATATTATTAGGGCATGGTAATGACATATCTACTCCTATCTTTATAATAAAAGTTTTATGATACCAGGACCAAAAAGCTTCATAAAAAATAGAAGAAAAATATATTGACAAAATGTTTACTTCCGCTTTTGTAAAAGTTTTGTTATTTTAATATTTATTAAGCCTTGCAGAGCCAAACAAAAAATATTAAAAAATTAGCCCCCGTAAAAATCCTAATCCTAAATATTTTTTTCTTAAATTTTAAATGGAAGCCTAATCCCAAATTTGATCCAAATCGGTAAGGTGATGTCCAAGATTTTTTTATATCTTGATTTTGGGGGCCCCCGGCTGCAATTATTAAATTTAATAACACAGGCTCAAAATATAACCAAATTTCTATAACAAAAATTAGTTCTTTTCACAGGGTTTTTGATGCGCTGAATTGGAATCCTACCTTAGGATTGCTACATCACGTCAGGTTTTTAAGAAATTATAACCCAAAAGTAGAAAAAATCAAGAAATGTTTTATTTTGCCGCACCGGGTCCCTCTCTGAGTCTCGGCATCTTATTTATGCAGTTGGGGACTGACAAAATACAAAAATGTATAAGTATGCTATTTATATAATATTCTATTTATAATAAAATAAATTCTTCTATATTCTTATTTCTTAATATTAAACTTTTGAAATTAATTAATTAATTTGTATTGAATTGGTGACAACTGTTTTTTGTATATAAAAATATGTTTAAATACCTACAAAAAGTTTTATTTAAATTAGATATTTTATATTGTGTTCAAAGTTACAAAGTTAACTAAAATATTAATATTTACCGATTTATGTGGTATATTTGTACAGGACTCGAATTTTTCAATTTGCTTAGAAACACTTATTTATACCATTTAATAAAGAAGTAGAGTAAATTCAAGGTAGAAAGCTTTATTTGTCAGACTCTTGGATAAATTAAATGTACACTTTTAGTGAAAATAAAATTAAGGTTTCTAAAAATATAATAAATAATAAACTTTATTAATTGTGTATACTTTATTTAGTAGAATAGGTTAACAGTTCATAATAAAAATAACTTTACATAATCTTTAGGTATATGCCAAACAATTAATTATCTGTGGGTACTCAGATCTGTTTCATTTGAGACCAAAATGCATTCGTACATGAATATCACAGGTGCTGTCACAATTCATAACAATACAAAAATAAGGCTCTTTCGCCAAAAAGAATCGCTCGTCTAAAATTAAATTTAACACTGATGTTTATTTATTATAACGATTCTTTTAATAGCGAGTACAAAAATCCTATCCCACTTTTCTAAGTATGTACAATGTTTTAATTAAACTGAATAGTGGCGGTGATTGACTGGCCCAAGCGAAATTTTATTAACTTAGTTTAATTTTTTACTTCTACACTGATTGCGAGGCACGAGCCACGCTAAATTTCGGCAAACACAAACCAAATTTGGTCTCAATGCCAGTAAAAATAGGGAGCGACACCGAAAATCCTCCCAAATGGTCCGGATTGTGCGATTTCATGTCACCTCCCAGGGAAGGAACTTTGAATTCAGATCCAGTTGGACGACTGCAAAAATACATGGTATTAAATATTTTAGATTTTAATCATTTAATAAAGAGCTACAAATAAAGTATACTTACGTTCCTCCAAAATCAATATATAACATCCTTTGAAGAACTTCGTAAGTTAAAAGAGTAACTCCAAACTGCGGTGAAGATCTGAACACACGAGCTGAAAAAAAATTGTTAAATATTAATGCCGTTTATAATAAAATTAAAGTTAAATTTAATTGTTAATTTGGAAACAAAATGTATTAAAAGACCAAGTTGGTTTGGGACATCATCAGGCTACAGCAAGATGTAAAAATCAAATAAGATATTTTTTATGTTTAGTCTTACGTTTTAAAGTTAGCCAAAATATTTATTTATTTATTTATTTATTTATTTATTGCTTAAACGGGAAAACCCCATTACAGTATAAACATTACATATAAAGGTTGTGTCTTGAAAAGAAGACAATTACAGTTAATCACTAAATTAAAAATAAGTAACAAATTCTTTAAACAGATAATTAATATTAATAATAAAAAAATAACAATTCATTTATCCAATAGTTAACAATAATAATAACAAATACTAATTATAGGTATTTCACTAAGTTAACAAATAATATTCAAATAGAGATCACAAGTTAAATTAATTCGATTAAAGCTCTCTTAAAGGAACGAAAAGAACCCCTAAATACATCCAGCCTTTCCTCCCTATTTAAAAAATTCAAAGACCTCTCAAAAAAAAATGTTTACCAAAATTGGTCCTATGATTTCTTATAAAAAATAAATTATTGTGTCTTAGTATTCTTTGTGGTGTAGTAAATTTAATTTGAGAGAGTAGAAATGGACTAGATATTATACCATTTAATAATTTATAAAGAACACAGATGTCGAACATAGTTCGTCTCTTTTCCAAGGAACATAAATCAAAATGAACTAATATATCAGAATAATCATGGTTAGCAATAATATTAAGGTTAAATTTAAAATTACAGTATCTCAAAAACTTGTGTTGAACTCTTTCCAGCAAATCCTTATACACATTGTATTGTGGAGACCAGATAACTGAACAATATTCAAGTTGAGATCTAACCAACCCTACAAATACCGATCTCACTGCATCTATAGAGAGACCTTGACAATTCCTCAATGCTAGCTTTCACAACTAGTTGATGTATGTGGTTGGAGAAACTTAAACGAGAGTCAAACAGTATTCCTAGATCCATGGCCTCTTCCCTTCTACACAATTGTTGCCCATTTATGGAATAAAAAGTATTAATTCTCCTTTTTTTCTTGCAAAACGAATATTAATACTAACTGAAATATTTGATCTACATGACTTGCTAAGAAAGACCCAATATGATTTTATAATAATAAATATTTAAAGACATGTGTGAAACTTTTAAAAGTTGTGTGCCTAATTAGTTTGAAATATTAAGAAAACATTTTAAGCATTTCCTGGTAAAAAATTACACTGCACTTCTTAAAAATAATATAACATAATAGCAGATTAATTTGTTTGTTATACAGGCAATATTAAAAACCTATAGAAATAGTTTTAAAAACTGTAGTCTGTTTATTTCTTACCTACGGCTCCTTTCCAGAATGCTCTAAATCCTTCTTCTGCATAAATCTTCCTAGTCGCATCCATTACTCCTGAGTAGGTGGTCTGGCCAGCACGCGCCACGACCTGCAACCTGGTTTTAATTACATCAGCGGGGGTGACGAGCGATGCCGCTGGTATACCGGCTATAGCACCGGCCAGCAGCAGCGTCAGAGGATGGTTATAGCCACTCTCGTCGGCTAAGCTGGCCTTGGTGTGAGCATAAGCCGGAAAGTAGATAGCGCTGAACGGAACGTCACGAAGTAGACAAGCTCTTGCACCTAAAATATACAAACAAATAATGATACAGTCAAATAGGTAAAGCATATTGGTAAAAAATAACGTATAACGAGGGCTCCTGCATTGGAAAAACTGTTTTACTGGTATTATACAAATTTCTACTAAGCAGAATATATGGTTTGCGACTGATACCTATTTGGTTTGACAGATTTAATTGTGCTTTTAATAAAAAAGCACCAAACGTAAAAAAGGCACACTTTTCACAAACTAGAGGGTTTTCTGAAAGTTGTTGTTTTGTCTTTCCAGTCCGATTGTAGTTTCTATTAATATTTGACAACTTTCAACAGTAGTAAGAAATCTAATAGTGAATCCTGGATAAAATTTGCATTTTGCTGTAGCTTGTGGCTGATTAAATTTATTAGTTCCTCACAGGCCCAATGAGAGGCGGGGATCGGGGAAGATTCTTCTTAAATATTTAATTTAAAAAAACTCCTGAGAATTACAAAAAACATGTTACATAAACAAAAATGAACAAAACATTTTCAAAAAAAAATATTCCTTGACGGAAGCTACGTGGGATAGTCCTGAAACAAGAAAATACATCTTCCTTAGCTGAACACGTACGAAATACTTCCCATTAAATTGACTTAAAAAAAACAAGGGTCTTGGCTAGCATCGAACACAGGACAAAACCAAACGTACCATTCGTGAACCCATTGAAATAGAAAAACGTCCAAGAAACCTCAACACAAGAGATGATAACAGGCTACCAACTGCATGGAAACCAGCTCTTACAACCACCAAAACGCAGATTAACGAGATCAATGCCACAGGGACAATCGCAGTCACAGTTGATGACGCGGAAAGCTAAGAGGGTATATAAACAACGATCAGCGGCAACGGAGCTCACTCCATGCCTAACTCTCAGCAGAGCAGCAACAGCAGCCCAGTAAATAAGACCTGAAGATGGTACCGAAACGTCGTCAGACATACCTACTATTTTTTTAAGAATCAAAAACCGACAACACGGAGCAGATCCCGGAAAACCATCAATACATATATATTTATATATACAGAGTGACCCATTTGAAAGCGGGCCACCCTCATACAATTTTTATTTATGAAGTGATTTTAACCCTTTTTTTTTAAATGTGGAGGAGGAAAGATTTATTTTAAAGCCAAGCAACGTCTAGTTTAAAAAAAAATGCAGAATCCATATGAGCGATTTTTTTAGAAAAATATTGAACATTAACGATTCTATGACTAAATTCTGTCAAGTTGTTTACGAGCCCTAACACAAAAATGTTCGGACACTTCATAATTTATACAGAAATATTTTTCGTGAATACTATCTCAAAATTATTAGAAGTTATGAAAAATTCAGCTCATTTTAGCATATACCCCTCAAAGCAATTTTTATTTTTAAAAAGTTTACCTTTTATTTTTAGCTTTTAAAAAAAGGCTAACTTTTAAACTTTTTTTTGTATGAGTAAAAAAAGTTATAAATGGACCCATTAAAAAGAGCATAAAATATTATACAAACCCTGAAAATTTGGTAAAAAATAGTATAAGTAATTTAAAAATGCTATTTTTAAAGAGTTTTTGCAATTTTCTTAGGAAACGGGAGATTTTGCAGATATATAACTTTCTTATTATTTATACAATTTTTACCAAATTTTCAGGGTTTGTATAATATTTTATGTTCTTTTTAATGGGCCCATTTATAACTTTTTTTACTCATACAAAAAAAAGCTAAAAATAAAAGGTACACTTTTTTAAAATAAAAATTGCTTCGAGGGGTATATGCCAAAATAAACTGAATTTTTCATAACTTCTAATAATTTTGAGATAGTATTCACGAAAAATATTTCTGTATAAATTATGAAGTGTCCGAACATTTTTGTGTTGGGGCTCGTATTATTCATTAATAACATTTAATAGATGTCTATTAATTGGAGATTTAGTTGAAAAATCTAGAATTTAAAATTAGTTCATGTGTGTTAATTTAATATTATTTTAGAAGAATTTCTTTATAAGAATGTACATTCTTATAAAGACATTCTTCTAAAATAATATTAAATTAACACACATGAATTAACTTTAAATTCTAGATTTTTCAACTAAATCTCCATTTAATTGAATGCATTGATTGTATCGTCTTTTAATGTTTGCCATATCATTAGACAATTGATGTGGTGTAATTTCAGTGCATGCCTGTCTTATTCTTTCGCGGAGTTTTGTAGACTTTTTCTTCAATAAACCCCCATAGAAAAAAATCTAGTGGAGTTAAGTCGGGAGACCTGGGAGGAAATTGTATTAATATACTATTTCGCCCGATCCACCGATTAGAAAAATTTTCCAGCCACGCTTTTACAGGCATCTAACTGAAACAGTAGACCAACCACTTCTGCAAGTGCACTTGCAGAAGTGGTTGGTCTACTGCTATTAATGAACTTCCATGGAAGTTCATTAATAGCATATTCCCGAGAGCTACAAAAACATGACTGACAGCCAATTCAAAAAAATGATAGTCCAGCATATAATTAGTACTAGGAAAGATCTGTGATATAAACGACATTTATTTACATATTTATATTGTAGCGAGTACCGCTCTGGATATCGGAGTGATGACTCATCGCCGGTTAGTCATCGCCGATGAGTCATCGCCGGTGACTCAGCGCTCGAGAGTGTGGAGCTCGCTGGAATGTTCCAGAAGACCTTGGCGCTGAATATATAAGAAACGGAGCAGCACACGGCAGTCAGTGAAGATTTGGTACTCGCGGCGAAATAAATAAATATAAGTGCAAATAAATAGACTCTTGAACAATAGTGATATATAAATAATTAGTAGTTAAGTGTTTAGTTAGTTTTATAGTGTTTTAAGTGTAGTTAAGTTATTAAATAAATAGTTTAGTTCGTTAATTAACCAGTGCGTGTTTTAATTCACACTACGAACAGTTAAAAACGGTACAATTGGTGTCAGAAGTGGGATTAGTGTGAAACTTCGCGAAAATGGTTTCGTTAATGGACTTAAAAGTGGCGGACCTTAAGAGGGAGCTACACTGAGAGAAAGAAATATTTGTTAATAACGAGGCACGTTAACTATTAACATATCGTTGAGTTGGATATGGCGAAAGAAATATTAATTTGGGTCTAAGAACTGGTTAAGTTGAATTAAAGAAGCTCATAACGTATTAGCAAATGTAGATATATTAACTGTTAATATATCGAAATTCCATTTTGTAAAAAACTACGGCAACGTCACATGCTTGCGCATATTGCATTTAAAATTATGTTGACAAATGTTAAAACGTTTTATTCGAATTTAGGTATATTAACTGTTAATATATCACAGTTCTAAGACAACTTTATCCTTTATTTGTCTGAAACACAGTCACCGGACGATGTTTTAATAATTAGTATATAATTTGTTCACGATTAAGAAATTTTTTAATAGTTAACAAATATTTTAAAAAAATCGCAACTGTTTTAATTTCTTAATATTAAATATTTCGTTTTCTCAGTGTAGAAGAAAGGGAATGTGAAACAACTGGAAAAAAGAATGTGTTGCAGCAGCGGCTTCGAGAAGCATTGGAACAAGAGGGTGAAAATCCAGATGAGTATTTATTTGAAGACCCTTGTGACATGCATTTAATGTTGCAAAATTTAAAAGACCTAAAAGTCGATTTACAACAGAATATTCTAGAAAATTCTAACGACTTACAAAATAAAATGCTAGAAAATTCTAAAGAACTAAAAGGCGAGTTGCAACAGAAAATGTTGGAAAATTCTAGCCATGTACAACAGAAAATTCTGGAAAATGCCAACGATTTAAAGGACGATCTGCAACAGAAAATGCTAGAAAACTCTAACGAGTTACAACAGAAAATGCTGGAAAATTCTAGCGAACTGCAGCAGAAAATTCTGGAAAATTCTAAAAATTTAAAAGAGTATTTGGAACAGAAGATTCTAGATAATGTAAATGAATTAAAAGAGAACGTAAGGGTAGAATTAGAAGAAAAAGTAGGACAGAAAGTTGACGATGTAAGGATGGAATTAAATAACGTAAGGATGGAATTAAATGACGTAAGGATGGAATTGGATGATAAATTGGAAGTCAAAATTAAAGAAATAAAAAGTAAACTGACAGCTGTAAATCTACCCATGATACTGGCGGAACCAGGAACAATGCAGGAGGGAAGCCGAGTACGGATGAAACCACCTCAGTTCGATGGAAAAACTTCTTGGACCAACTACATCCGTCAGTTTGAGGCAGCAGCAAAAGCAAATGGCTGGCTACCAGAAGAAAAAGCTACAGCATTGACTCTGGCTTTACGCGGAGATGCAACGGACATCTTGCAGACACTCTCTCCCAACGAACAAGAAGATTACGAAGCGTTGGTTAAACATCTGGAACTGCGATATGGCCAGACACATCTGGAACATGTGTACCATTCCCAACTGAAGAATCGCTGCCAGAAATCAAACGAGACTTTACAAGAGTTCGAGGCTGATATTGCACGCTTGGTTCGGTTAGCATATCCAGCTACTCCAACGACCGTTATGGAACGATTAGCGGTTCAAGCCTTTTTGGATGGACTTCGGGACAACGAAACAAGACAGGCTCTAACACTGGCTCGTCCGAGCCAACTGGTTGATGCATTGGCTCGAGCTTTGGAATTCGAGGCGGCAAAGCAGAGCTGCAGGAGCCAGCCTAGAATAAGGAGAGTCGATGAAGAGAAAGAGGAGGAACCCAGAATAATTGAAGCAATCAGGCGAGTTTTTAAAGAAAATCTACCAGAGAAGAAGGAAATCCGGTGTTGGAGATGTGGAAAGCTAGGACATATACGAAGTCGTTGCAGAGAAAGCCAGGTGGCGCCGACTTCGTCAGTCGGAAAACTAGATAGGGTCGAGGAAAAGGGGCCACCGTCGACCTGTAACCAGCATGCCCCAGAAGATATCGAACGTGTTGCATCTCTTCTACACCAGTCCAGCAGTGTTTTTGTGGATGGTTTAATTAATGGAAAATTACATGTGCTGC